AACAAATATATATATATAATCATTAAATACCTGGTCTAGTATATAATATGAAATAATGATTTAGGCACAAGCTCTAACATTATTCAAACACCTAAGTTATTTTAGGTTACTTTATTGATTATTGAAAATGACTTAAACACTCCATTAAGTTTATAATAGTAATATAAGTAGACGTATTCTCAAATTATTATAGGCCTAGGTGTTATGAATAATAACGGATACATCTGAGTTATGAAAAGCATATATTTAGTAATCTATTTTTAATTTTTAAACATTTTTACAGTTACATTATTAGCGGGACAGCTTAGCATATGAATTTAGGCTTATTGTGTTTGCAAAGTCAATACGCCTAACATTACTTAAGATTACAGAAAAGGGTAATTTAAGCTTAAAACAGTATTAGTATCTATGTTCTTACCTGTCTTTCTTATCTACATCAGATGGTGAAATACTTCTGAGCTGACAAGATGAAGCTCATTAATAGAAAGTATGTAGAAAATATAGATACTACTTATCATAAAATCCCTCTTAAACAACTATTACGGGGAAAATAATTAAGTGCTTTATTCTAATTAGAAAGTAGTATTTCACCATTAAATTAATCGAATAAGCTAGATATAATAACACTGTGCACCGAGCTGGAAAATATAACCCCTTCACGATCAGCTGAGCGTTTGTTTGTTTTAGAGCAAAGCCACACGAGGCTATCTGCTGTGTCCATCGCGGGGAATCGAACTCTGGATTTTAGCGTTATAAGTCCGTAGATCTACCGCTGTTCCACCGGAGAAACTATTCAATTTGAAGCTATAGTACTGGAAAAGTTCACCTGAAAATTTTCTTAGATTTGTTTCCAAGATTTGTATTATTATTGTTCTACATGACTTCCGTTTGTGAAGATTCTTCTATATATTTAATATGTATTTCAAGACTTATTTATTTACACCAAACATTTTTTTGTATTTATATCACGGAGTTCAACACTAAATTGTGGATAAAAACTGGGATTGTGGAAAATGTTGATATAACGTTTGTTTTCACATGATATTTAGTAAAAGTGCTATATCATAATTCTTTTTTGTTAAGCTCAAAACTGTACAATGGGCTATCCGTGCTGTGCCTTCTGCAGAGACCGAATCCCGAATTTTAGCATTATAAGTCTTCATGTTTACCGCTGAACCACTGGAAAGAGAAC